GAACGACCAAATAAAAATATCTTTGGAAAATGTTTAAAGTCTGGTTGAATTAGAAATCACCATTATTTTATATATATGGGAGAAATTTATGAAAAATGTTATAGTTGTCGACAACAGAATTGCATTTATAAATTGCACCAATAGTGTCCTGATTTTTTAATGTATAAATGAATAATTAAGGCATGTACAGCTCAACTCGCTAAAACTGTATTCCCTTTATAACATGTACACCAATTAATGTTAACCCTGAAGGTTACAAAGGTGTTTGCACAAAAGAGAAATACAAACAATATGGTGGTATGATATAAAGCGAGACTAGTAGTTATTGGTTTACATAGAGACCCTGAATTGATTTTGATCAAATGTTGCCCCCACAATAAATGACATTACGTTCCGCAAATTAACATTATTGGCAGTGAATTATAAATTTAGATATGCAGTTGATGAACGTCATGACCGCAAACTTATGGGTCATTAGATGCTAATATTTATTTGTAAATCCCTGATGGATTCAACACTTTTGAAATGAGAAAAGTGAAAATGACAATGTGTATTATTAAACTACTAAAGTCTTTGTATGAGTTAAATATTATTGACTGAGTGTTTTCCTCCCGAAGAAGGAATATGCAAATAATATGTACCATTATGTGTTCGTTAACGAATTGCTAATGTTATATTTTTACCCCCAATGTCCCATATGAGGACAAATAAGATTGTGTAAGGGGAACCTTACAAAACATATTGCACCTAAATCCTTCTACACACATGAACTCTAGAAGAGTGGCAAAATTCTTGTTGAGAAAGTTTGTCCTAGTGAACAATCTTGCAGATATGTTCACTAAGTCTCTACCTACATCCACTTTTGGGTAATATGTTCATAAAATTGGGATGCGTAGGCTTATGAGATTGTCATCTTCAGGGGGAGCGACAACCCCTAGCTGCACTGGAATGGACAATCTAGAAGGTTGTTGAAATCCTGAAGATTAGCTTCGAAAACATATGGTTATACTCTTTTTCCATTAGCTAAGTTTTTCCCCATAGGGTTTTCTTAGGCTAAGGTTTTTAATAAGACAACCGATGTTGTTGCACTTGAGTGGATAGTCCTGAAGACCTTTGAAATCTTGAAGATTATGCCCCGAAGGCTTATGATTGTACTCTTTTCTTTAGCTAAGTTTTTTTCCCCACTGGGTTTTCTTAGGCTAAGGTTTTTAATGAGGCAACCGGTGCAGCACATGGTTTGACATACTTCGTGTACTCTTTTTCCTCGTCTAGGTTTTTCCTACTGGATTTTTCTAACGAGGTTTTTAACGAGGCATGAGTGTGGTTAAATAATGGCTAAGGGGAGTGTTATAAATATTAACATAACGACCATTATTTCTTCATCTTCCCTATTAATATTATATGTTAGTTATAGAAAGTGAAGGGTTGTATGGATTGTAAATATATACATGTTGAAGGATGAATAAAGGGTACTTGAAGTTCCTAGATTTTGAGTTCTCATTTTTCTCTCTACTTCTCTCTTCCATTCCATATTGCAATATTGTTTATACATACAATCGACGTGTTACTGTACAACAATCCCGGTAGATTGAGCTAATCAGTAGACCAAATTACAACATATTTAATATTTTTGGAGAGAATGTTAGCTTTTTGCATTTGTCTTAGTTAATAATCTCCAATTTACTTATGTACCGAGCTTCAAAACGACGTCGTTTTGTTTAATGAAAAGAAACGGCACCCGTTTCGCGCTGTTCCGCAAAAAAGTAACTCTGTTATTCAGTTTCATTTTGTATACACTGCAGTTTCAGTTCAACACAACTACAGTTTCATTTCGATATAACTACAGTTTCATTCGATATTTATACAATCAAATATGTGAAAATTTTATTTTATTTAATTTTATATACACTATAGTTTCATTAAAACACAACTACATGATCATTTCGATATAACTACAACTTCATTGCACAATATACACTCAAATATGTGAAATGTTATTAAGTTTCATTTTATATACAGTGTAGTTTCAATTCACTACAACTACAATATCATTTTGATATAACTGCAGTTTCATTTGATAATATATAAAATAATACGTGAGGCAATGTCGGTTTAGATACACTGTAGTGTCAGTTTAGATACACTGTAATTTCAGTTGATATTTAACACAGAAAAATGCGCGCTCCGTTATCAGTAACGGCGCGCCGTTTCTTTACTTAAAGAAACGATACCGTTTTGACCGTGACGCACGTACACCGCGGTCCACAGTATAATGACCCTTCAAAACCTCATCTCGTATGGGACCACAACATTGCACCTTAATTGGATTAACTCAATTACAAATTTCTTGTTATACATACATACATTAATAGCCCTAAGCACAAGCTTAGACATGACATTCATATTAGCTTGTTTGACTAATCAAATAGCTAAATTGACCAAGTTACTCAAGTGATTTTTCAATCCTTTCAGGTAGTCTAGAAAGACACTCACATCTTTCGAGAACTAAAGTTTGCAAGTTCTCCAAAGAACAAAACATTCATATTAGCTTCTTTGACTAATCAAACAGCTAAATTGGTTAAACAAATTAGACTTTGGCTGATAAATTATGGCTAAAAGTTTTCACGAATTATTTAATTTTGTACACATTATTAATGTCTTTTATTAGATCACAAGGTGTCATGAGTAGCAACTAATTATAGGAGGCACATTTAATCGTGTTTCATACTCATATGTAATTAATTAAGCACTATGTTATGCATACAAAACTTTAGTACAAAAATATTTTTTATTTTTTAATGTAAAATAGTGAAAAATTTCACAATATCTAATAATAAAAATGTTAAATATTATAAATAAGCAATATTCTATGTAATATTTTTATAAATAGTGAGTAAAATTATTATTTCATTTACAAAATGTTTTGGTTCTTTTTCTACTTAGAGTATTTCCATTGGTATAAAAAAAGAAAAAAAAAAAAAAAGAAAAACAGTTAAGATTTTTGTTTATGTGACTAAGCAATCGTTATACCCCCTACACCACGGTGCGCGTAGCACTGTGTGCCGCGCGCCTCCCAAAACAACGTCGTTTTGGGATGCGCGGCAGGAAGTTGCTGTGATTATGTATATTTGTTCATACAATTATTTATATTTTTTATTATGTACATTTTTTATACAATTATGTACATTCTTTTTATACAATTATGTACATCCGAATCAAGAAATTTTTGTGTATTATGTTAAGAGTTGATGTGTATTATGTTAAAAGTTGATGTTTATTATGTATTATGTTAGATTATGTGTATTATCTTTTAAAAAACAGTATGTATATTTTGTTATACAATTATGTACATTCATGTATAACATTATGTGCATTTTTTAACATGAGATTTTTTTAAGGAAAATTAACCGCAAAACACTGGGTAGCGAAATTAAAAAAAAAATAAAAATTGAAATGACGTCGTTTTGCATCTGGGCGCACAATGCAACGCGCGCCGTGGTGCAGGATATAAATTGCCGTGACTAAGAGATCAAGCTGCAAACGAGAGATGCCAAGTAAGAGAAAAAAAATAATAATAAAACCCAATCTCCCAGAGACGATACTGATTTTCATGATTTTTTAAAATTGTAAAAAAAAAAAAAAAAAATACAAATGTGTACATTGAGTCTAGGCAACGATGTGTGTCCATTGGCTCACATCTTTTTGGCATTCCCCCCTCCTCATTTTTTTTTTTGTCCCTCCACCTATCCTACATTGCATGACAAAAAAAAAAAAAAAAAAAAAAAAAAAAAAAAACTGGAAATGAGTTTTAATTGCATTTGTTGCTCTTAGCTAGTTTGGAAGCACATTCTATTGCCCTAAAATGTTTTTTTTTAATAAGTAATTGCTTATAAAGCGTTTGGAATAGCAATAGCTCTAAACACAAATACACCACCCTTACTACTACATGTCATTTTCCCAATTTTTTTCTATAATATTAATAAAAATAATAATCACCTTATTGAGATAGTATCATAGTAATATACTCTATTTGGGATACATAATTGAAAAACTAATTGATAGTTGAAAATTAGCTGAAAGTTAAAAATTAACTGAAAGTTGAAAAACTAAAAGCTAAAAACTACCATATTAGATGGATGCCATTAGAAGTGTTTGGTAAACTTAAATGTTAAGCAAGATGATAAAAAAAAAATGTCATACTGACATGAAATATGTGTAGTATAAGTTTTTTCTTTTTCAATTTTTTTAAAAAAAATTTATAAGTGTAATATATAATATTTATTTGACCAACAATCCAACTATAAGTTTTTTCTTTTTCAATTTTTTTTTTAAGTTTATAAGTATAATATATAATATTTATTTGAACAACAATCCAACTATTTATACATAATACAAATCAAATAAGTTGAAGCATGCAAATTCTATTCTAACGGCTAAATCTTTGAGCTGCAACTTGTCAAGTAGATTCTTAATATAGAGGAATACTCCCACCAGAAATTCTCAACCTCTTGCAAATAGACCCAGATGAATAATACACATAATCTCATTTTCTACTCCATTTTATACTTTGTTTTTATTTTTTCATTTTCTTTATCCAATAAAATTTGTACACGTTAAAGAGAGTTATACACTTATACTTCATGAGAATACATCTATCATTTTTCATATGCTACACAGTACACACTTCACCTTTAATAAAACATTATGGATATGTGATGCATCCATTAGGTGACCATATAACAAAAATTGTTTTGGTGTCAATGAGGAGGAAACGAGAGGTTGGGATGAAAAATGAATTCTCAATGTATGCTTATTAATGATGGTATTTTATCCCATCATTATTTGCTTTCATCCTCTTAAAGAAATAATGAAAGGCCGCAATAAGAAATCTCTCACCAAGTACTATAAAACTTTTATGATGATTTTTTTTTTCAAAAAATAAAAACAATTTTCTTGTAGTACATAAGGTCATAAAATATACATTTCAAAGGATACCTTGCTCAAGTCAATAGTCAGAAATTATATCATAACAACTCCTCAAAACCTAGCTTTGTAAATATACACAACTTGCAAATTATTAACTCATTTATATTATAGAAAAATTATTAAAACACGTACACTTTGATAATTATAAATAGGTATAACAAAAACTCAAGATATATTTACTTCACACATTCACATCAAACCGAATAGTTATACAAAATAGTAGAGATTCAAAGTGTAAAAGAGATATTTTTTGTTCAAATGATGAAGTTGATTGGACTATTAACTTAGTAAACATGAGATATGGTTACAAGAGTCTCTAGAGTCCACATATTTAACTCGATCTATTCACCTTCAAATTCGGACAGATGTCGATAATCAAAGACTCCAGCCTACTTAAGAGGTGATGTGGCACTGTCTTAAGTTTTTCGCAAAATATTAGTTGCAACTCCCTGATGCATGGCATTATTACTATTGTTGCTTCTTCTTTGAAGTCTTCCCACTCCTCCCACTCTGTACACATGAAGAAGCGCAATTTCTTCAGCTTTGGAAAAGCAACAGCACCTACTTCTGCTACTCCCAAAAACTCACTCCCTACATATCTTAGCTCTTCCATGTTGTCTATGAAAAGAGTCTCCAGAGAAGGGAGTTTGCCTAATGGAGGCAAAGATGAACAATTTAAGTACTCACCGATTACAAGAATCCGTAGATTATCAAGGGATAGTGTAATCCAGGAAGGGAAGTGGGTTCCTCTGTAGCATTTAAGTTCCAAGGTTTGCAGTTCCAGAGGTGGTTTCAGAGCATCTACTCCCACAGTGACTACCGGACAGTTGTTAATCATCAAATACTCCAGCCTACTTAAGAGGTATTGTGGCACTGTCTTAAGTTTTCCGCAATCTTCTAGAACCAGCTCCTTGATGCATGGCATTATTATTATTGTTGCTTCTTCTTTGAAGTCTTCCCACTCCTCCCACTCTGGACAATGATGGAACTCCAGTTGCTTCAGCTTTGGAAAAGCAACAGCACCTACTTCTGCTACTCCCAAAAACTCACTCCCTACATATCTTAGCTCTTTCATCTTGTATATCTCAAGAGTCTCCAGAGAAGGCAGTTTGCCTAATGGAGGCAAAGATGAACAATTTACGCACCCATCGATGTTAAGAATCCGTAGATTATGAAGGGACAGTGTAATCCAGGAAGGGAAGTGGGTTCCTCTGTACTCATAAAGTTGCAAGGTTTGCAGTTCCGGAGGTGGTTTCAGAGCTTCCATCACATCTATTCCCACATCGACTCCCTCCCTGAAATGGAAACTCAATCCTTTGATGTGCTTCTTCATTCTCAATTCTGCTTTCTCTGCTTCCTCCACATCTGATGTGTTATTCAGATCGCACAAAAAAAATATTGACAGCTTCCCTTTGAGTTGGTTCAGCTTCTCCATGTATCCCAACGTACTTGACTCTTTCTCTTTCCCCACCTTAAACTCACCTAAACTACAAAGCTGAGTTAGCTTTGCAATATCTAGGGGCATCATCTCCAGCCTATAGGTGTCTCTGATGTTAAGGTGTCTCAAGTTTATTAAATTGCCAATCCCTTTGGGTAGTCTGGAAAGACCTTCACATCCCCCAAGATCTAAAGTTTGCAAGTTATACAAAGAGCAAATTGCATCGGGTAACTCCTCCACTTGTTCACAATAACTTAAATTAATGTACCTTAGCTGACTCAAATCTCCAATCTTATCAGGTAGTCTAGAAAATCGATCACATCCTTCAAGATCTAAAGTTTGTAGGTTCTCCAAAGAACAAACTGTATCAGGCAATTTCTCTACATTGCTCCAACTTAAATTAATGTACCTTAGCTGACTCAAATTTCCAATCCCTTTGGGCAACTTAGAAAAATCATTATGTCTAAGATCTAAAGTTTGCAAGTTATATAAAGAACAAATTGCATCCGGTAACTCCTCTACATCATTCATACTTAAATCAATGTACCTTAGATGAAGCAAATTTCCTATCTCCTTTGGGAGTTCTCGCAACTTACAGCCACGCAATCCTAATAGTCTCACAGATTTCAAACCATTGAACAAATCAGGAATAAGTTCTTCAGGAGAAAGGCGTTCACCAAAAAAGCTGCGAAGTTTTCCAACATCACGAACGGAAGCAGTGAGATTCATATTCCTACCAGTGTTCTGCCATGACAAATGACGTAGATTTTTAATTCTGACATCATCCTCGTGCTGGTCAATATTGTAGAATTCATTTTTGGTAAGAAACTGGGCAAAATCATGCACTATATCATGCATTTTGCAAGATATGATAATGTTGGAATCCATGTCATCTTTCTCAAAATCTTGGAAGAAAGAGCGCATTGCTAAACCCCCAAATAACTCCCTGCCTTTTGATTCCATCGTCACATAACCTTGTGCCATCCAAATTCTGATGAGCTTATCTACCTTTATTTCATAATCTTTGGGAAAGACAGCACAGTATGAGAAACATTGCTTCATCTTTGGGGTCAAATCATTGTAGCTTAGATACAAATGAGGGAAGAGGTCTGTTACCACTTCATCCAACTCCCAAATTTTATTGTCTAAAACATTTTGCCAATCGTCTTCAGTGTATTTGAAACGTAGCAGGCTTCCCATGACCCTAGCAGCAAGTGGCAGTCCTTTGCACTTTTGAGCAATTTTCTGACCAATATCTTTCAGTTTCTCACAATCCTCTTCCCTTCTCCCAGGAAATGCTTTCCTGCTAAGCAACAACCAAGCTTCCTCATCAGATATTAGATCCAACTGATGCACATACACACTTCCCATCATTGTAGCAACCCTCTCACTCCTAGAGGTCACCAAGATTCTACTCCCGGGGAGTCCATCCTTGAGAGAATTCTTCAATGGATTCCACTTTTCATCCTGCTCTGTCCACACATCATCCATCACAAGTAGGAACCTTTTCCCAGACAAAATGCTTTGGATTTTTTCCAGTAACAGTTGCAGTTGAGACAGATCTGTGGAGCTTTTAGTGATTGACTCAACAATGGCTTTTGCAATCTTGATCTGGTCAAAGGGGTCCGAAACACAAATCCACACCCTTTCATCAAACTGAGTCTTGATCTTTTCATCCCCAAAGACTAGTTGAGCAAGGGTAGTTTTCCCTATCCCTCCCGTGCCCACTATGGAAATCACAGGGGGGCCATTTCTTGCTTCGTCTTCTCCAGAATTCTCCAGTAACTTGCTTATTAAAGCACTGGCATCAGATTTCCTACCTTGAATCTCAGACGCATCCACATCAAACGCAGTGGTGACTCGCATCAATTCTTGATCAGAGTGTGATGCTGCAGAAGTGTGTGTTATAGATGCATAATCAAATTTGAACTGATCTTTCTCTTTCGTAATCCGATCAAGTGTTGAATCAAGCTCCTTTATTTTCTTGGCGATGTCTCGATGCATAGCAAACCTTTTGTAATGGAAACGCGAAGGCAGGAAAGAACTGAGACTTACCTTTCTACCCTCGATCTGTTGTCTCAGAGTTGTGGTTCTCCACTCGTCCAGAACATCATCCACTTCGTACGAGAAGTCTTTGATATCTTCGATCCAGTGCTTGATGTTGTTTTCCTTAAAGCTTCTCTTTTCTGCATCATCCAATACCTCCATGATTTTCTTGAGCTTTGATGAGAGGTTTGTGATCTCCTTCTCCACACCCAGAGTTCGTTTTAGTTCCTGGGCTTGGTGCTTCAGGATGTTGATCAGCTCTTCCACAACACTGGAGATGAGAGCGTCGGCCATGGTCGTTGACTCTGCAGTGGAAAGGTACTTTGAGAGATGATAAGGTTTGCTAATGTATGGGTGTGCAAATTTGGGTAACTGAACAATATAGGTTAATATACAGACCAACAAAATTTGGTTAATTTTTTTTTATTAAAATTAAAATAAATAATTTATATATATATATCAACCATTGACTCTGTAGTTGACACTCAGATGATAAGGTTGGGCTTTTTCTCCAATGGGGGCTACACTGTGACTAAGGGACCTATGAAAAGGAAAGAATTGAATGCTTGATGGGAATGGGACAAACGTCCCCAAGAATTAAAAAATAAATAAAATATCATAGGTTTGTTACAATGGGCATCTCCATTAATGAATTTAAGTATAGTTGTTGAGGAATTATAATTGAGGTAGAAGAAAATAAATAAAATATCAGAGGTTTCTTACAATGGGCAGATCCATTAATGAATTTAGGTATAGTTGCTGAGGAATTATAATTGAGGTAGAAGAGTAAAGGTGAGGAGAGAGAATATTTTGTCTTCTCTTGCAAAGATTTTGGTTTTTTACTTTTTGCAGGAGAAGTAAATAAAAAATAAAAAAAAAAAAAACACAGAGGGCGTGCGTGGAGTGTGTTGCACGCCTTAGCGGGCGGGTGGTCATCAGCCGGTGGACACTCTAAAATTAAAGGCAAAACAATCATTTTATTTCAACCCCACCCATTTCTTCGAACGTCTTCTTCCTCCCCTTTCTTTCTTCGCTTTTTAGGAAAATGAATTGTTTGACTGGGGTTGAAATAAAAAGACTGTTTTGCCATTTTCACTGCCAAGACAAAATATGTTAATGGAAAGACTACGACAGATTGAATTCGAAATTCTGAGAACCACAGATGGTCGATTTAAAAGATTATGACTAAAGGTGGCGAAACCCCCAAACTCGGAGGACTTTGGTTAGCATTTACTCAATATAGCATGGTTCAAGTGACTAATTCAATGACCAAGCTAAGTGAATATCGACAATTTATATCGTGGGTCCATATAGTATTTTGAACCGTACGTGGATCAAAACGACGTCGTCTTGATATTTAAGCTTTAACAGATTATGTAGTTTACCGTTTCTCATGTTCCAACACAAATTTTAATTTATTCTAGGTATAAAATCGATATTCTTAAGGTACAAAATTTCATAACACGAGACAAAAACTCACAACATAAGACACATACACATGTTATATGTCCTATAGGCATATAATTTAATAATACAAACATAAATTCGTAAAATAAGACACAGAATATGTTGTGCTACACAATTACTAATCTATTTCAAGTACATAATCCATACACTTAGGGTCGGTTTGGAAAGCAGGAAAATGACTTCTGGAAAATGAGTCATTTTCTGAAAAAACATTTTCCTTTCCGGTGTTTGGTTACATTCTGGAAAACTGCATTGGTGTGTTTGGTTCATTCACTGAAAAATGAGTAAAATTGTATAAATAAATATTTTAACTATTTTATTTAGAATATAAAAATATTTATAATAATAATACTAAAATAATTTTCAACATAATCCTATAATATTAAAAAATAAAATTAAAAAAAAAACACAAAAAAAAAAGATATTCATTGGTTCGAATCCTACTGAGAGGTCCACTAGAGAGCAGAAATTGTTGAAGAAACATCTTTCTTTTGTCCGGCGATCAGAAAATAAAGAAATGATTCATTTACTCAAAACCATTACGTATTTACAAAATACTATCTCAATTCATTCTATTTCATTAGATCCGGGATGTGATATGGTTCCGAAGGATGACTCGGATCTAGACAGTTCCAATAAGATTTCATTCTTTAAGGGGGCGTTTGGTTCACGGAATCTTGGATTACCCCAGGTAATAGGATTACCTCCTGGAAGGTAATGTGCGATTTTGAGAATGTAAGATTACCTTGTGTGTTTGGTTTGGATGGTGTAATATAATATTACTTTGTTTGGTTCAGGTTATATTTTATGTTATATGAATCAATTTACAATAATGCCCTCAATAATATATATATATATATATATATATATATATATATATATATATATATATATATATATATATATATATATATATATATATATATATATATATATATATATATTATATTATGTGTGTGTATTTATTTATTTATATCTATGAATGTATATCAAAATTTAAATATTAAAAAAAAACTAAATATATAAATATACACATATGTATATTTGATTATATAAACATATATTAATTTCATTATTATTATTATTATTATTATTATTATTATTATTATTATTATTATTATTATTATTATTATTATTATTATTATTATTAGTTAACAAGGGCAAAGTTGGAATAATTCAAGGTAATCTAAGATTACCTAAAAAAATGGGGGTAATCACATTATCTTGAAATATTAGCGCCACATCAGCTTTGAGGTAATATAACATTACCTTGTAATCTCATAACTTGAACCAAACAAGGTAATATAACATTACCAGACTCAGATGACCTAGGTAATCCAAGATTCCGTGAACCAAACGCCCCCTAACAAAAATCCATTTTTTGATTTCTTTCACCGATTCCATGAACGGAACAGGGGATTCATAAGGATGCTCTTAAAAAAAGAATAGTTAACATGGTAATTTCTCCTCCCACTTATTGGTCAGATTACTCTCCTCTCCATAAATCTCTATCCCTCTTTTTCTGATAAAATCCCCAATTCCCTTCCCTTATTCTCAAGCCATAGAAATCCGAAAATTTACCTTACCCAACCATTGATAAATTGGCAGAGATTATAGATGGGGATGCAAGACGAAGATCTGAGTTCAAAGGGAAACTACTCTCTGATCGGCAGTTCAAACCCTTATTTGTGTTAGCCCACTTCCCCTTAAATTAACAATGTTGTTTATTCTTTCTTTAATTTGCTGTTGTTGCCACATAGTATTTGTGCGTCAATAACATGATTTCTCAACTGTGTTACTATCAGCCTTGTACCATTGTACAGTTCCAATGAGTGATCTATATTTCTCAGTAGCATAACTGGAGTTCTAACTTTCAAAGTTAAACAATGGTTGGGGACTCCTGAGCATCTCAAACTGTTTAAATTTTTAAAAAAATCAGAACAAACCAAAAAATATACAAAAACACATATTAAAAAAAAGTATAAGATGAGTTATAACATTATCAATTCTGTATTATTTTTATAAAAAAAAACAAATATTAATTGTTCATTCAAAAATATACTTTAGTACACTTTAATAACCATATACTAATCTAAATTTAATTTAAAATTTTACAAATATTAACTTAATACTTCAACAAATAAAAAAAAATAACCAATAAAGGAAATCAATTTTTAAAAATTACACAACAACTTTACTATTGTAAACCATTTCAAAAAAATTAATAAATAAGCTGCACAAATTTAAGAAAAAATTACAGCACAAAATAATTATTAATTATTACAAATTAATGGATCACACTAATATCTCAACAAATTAATTCAAACAATAAAACTAAAAGAATAATGTTTTTTGATAACATTTCCATATCCAAATCTCATAAAACATAACATATACTACAATATATATATATATATATATATATATATATATATATATATATATATATATATATATATATATTGTGAAAGGTTCCCGTGCATTTGTTGCTTCCCGTGCGGATGTGCGATGGATTAATGTGCATGAGATTTGTACTCAATGTGCGTGAGTGTTGTGTTTAATGTGCCTGAGATTTGTATTTAATGTGCGTGAATGTGTAAAATGCAGCAGAAAATATTATGTAAGCTTCTTCCCCATCCCCAGTAGCCATTTGCCCCCTCCCTGATGATGATGATGCAGAGGCGAGCTATAGAGGTTAAGAATTATGGGAATAATACAACAGAAATCCACACTTTGTTGCTGTGCAAATTTTACTGTGCGTGTGTTATTTATATAAACATTCAACTGCATTGAAGGTGGCTGATAACCCAGAATCCATGGCCAAATTGATGGAAGAAGTAACAAGAAGCTTGGGCGTTAATGTGCGTGAGTTTCTGTTCTGCTTCTTTCTGAGCTCGTAATTCTGAAATACTCAGGCACATTAAGCACAAATCTCACGCACATTAAACAAAATACTCAGGCACATTAAGTACAAAACTCACGCATATTAACATGAAGCACATTAAGTACAAATCTCAGGCACATTAAGTATAAACCTCACGCACATTAATCCACCGCACATCCGCACGGGAAGCAACAAATGCACCTGAGGATATCCCTTCCCTATATATATATATATATATATATATATATATATATATATATATATATATATATATATATATATATATATATATATATATATATATATATATATATATATATATTGATACTGCTAATTCTACGTAAGCAATATAAAATATCACGAGACCAATTAAAGCAAGTAAAATCTTTATTGATCCCGGTAAAGGCCCTAAGTACAATCTACTTGGTTGTTCTGAGTACCGACTGACTGCGGTCGGGATTCTCTAACAACAACCTATCGATCGTCCAAAAGTCCCTTACACTGTAGCTACTGTGGGTATTTATAGCCGCTATGCCGGGGACAGGATTCCAGCCGTTCGGCATGTCCTCCACGTAGCCACCACGTGTCATCCTCCCGGGTGCCCTGCCTGTCGATGTAAAGAGCCGCCACGTGTCCTTCGTCAGCTCTTTCGCCCAAGGGCTACCGCTCGGTGGTCGACACCGTCGCTCGGGCAACTCCGGTCGGTCTACGACCGGGTTCTTCTCGTGGAGCCCGACCTGTTACCTGCAAAGACAAGGAGAAAGAGACAAAGACTCCTCGGTCGTGGTGAAGCTATGTCGGTCGGGATATTCCCTACCAAGAGCCCCCCAGCCCGGGCCTTTTTGATCAGTCGGGAAAAAATGGGACGGGATGAAGAAGCCCAACCGTCAGCCACCAAGCCGACCTGCCAGCTGTCATTCTTTCCTACGCCACGTGTCGGCCTCTGCCGGCCTCGGCGATCCCATCCGTCGCCTCGGATTCAGCGCGGGTCGTGTCAGGCAAGTTGGCCCATTTCCCGCCTAAATGCCCTCCTATAAAT